ATATATCACCTACATTCATATTCTCATCTACATAATTTTTATAATAAATAAAAAAATCCAAACCTTTCTGTTACTGCAACTTCAACTGCAGATTGTCATGCAACAAAATTTAAGACTCTCCTCCATCCAAAAGTAGATATGTTCACCTATTGCCCGGTTCACACTTCTCCCCATTTTTTTTTAACAGGAGTAGAGGTTTATTCCTTATCTCCTGTTTAAAACTAGATTTCCAGTTCCTTCTAAATTCTACTTTAAATTTATGCTTCTAATGTCTCTGCTTAAACACTGAAATATTTACTATTTATTTTTTTATCTCCACAACAAGAGTAGATAGGTTCATCAATTGTCTGGTTCACACTTCTCCTCAGTTTTTTTTTTTTTTAACATGAGTAGAGTTTTATCCCTTGTTTCCTGTTTAGAAGTGGCTTCCCAGATCCTTCTAAATTCTACTTTAACTCTATACTACTCTCATCTCTGCCTAAACTCGAGTAGCATCCACTACCAAGATGAGAAGAAGAAGCAGGAAATTGAACCAATAACAAAAAGGCAGGGGAGAACTTAGAGAAGGGAATTAACAAGAGATAACTGACATCCATTAAAACATGGCACGTGGAACTAGAACAGTCTACTCCAGTGAGTGAAATAAAGGGTTCAGTTCGACATTCCAACCACTTGGAGAAAGCAGGAGTATACAACGGCCGAAATGTGATAAATATCACGACAAAGATGAGGACAATAGTCTGAATAATGTAAATAATGTAAATAGTGAACAAAATGGCTTCAGTCAGGACACAGCTTTTTACATTCAATTGAACCACTTATCAACAGAGCTCCAAGTCAGTGTCTGTACCTGTGGCGCAGTCACCTTAACAACGTAGAACACAGGCTCTCTCTCTCTCTCTCTCTCTCAGCTATACAGTATCCCAGTGATGCCTGCCTCTTCTGGTCCTGCCTCTGAACAGCTGTTGGTCGCTATAAAACCAACCCTCAGAAATGGGGATATGCCCCTGATTTTGATCCCAACTGCCAATGTGGGAAATTACGAACTATGGAAATCTTCTAGTTTGCAACAGTCTTGAAGATTCATGCACACTTAATGACCTTGAAACGTTAACATCCCAAGGCAAGGCTCTGTATACAATAATGTATGGGTGTAGTGTAGTAACTCAATAAGATTTCCAGTAGTCCCTTGCATCTTAGTGATTTTATTTTACTTGGGGTGAATTTATTCAAAAATATATATGTATATAACAGGGCAGCAACCCTGGTTGAGTCATACAAGTTCCTCATGGAAAATGGTTCATGACTTGAGTTATTGTGATATAATAATTCTGACCGAAAGAGTAAAGATATCAGGAGAAAAATATGGGAAAGTGGTTAATTGGATTGGAGTCTGATAGAAAACTGGTTACAAAATATTAATTTAAACCCATAAAATACTTTCAAGTGGGGACCTCAAAAGAATTTGAATTCAAATTCATCTAAGTTAGATTTAGTAAGTTTCAGTATAACTAAGACCTCCCATCCCAAACCCATAACTCCAAAAAAGTTGGTATGACATGACTAATGAGTTTGCCAAACATTTGCAGGAGTTTCAGTAATTTTACAGTTTGTTTTATAGCAATCTATCTAGCATATTTATATTTGATTTCAATGTAAATTTTGGAAACTCAGAAATTTTTCAAAATTGAAAAGCATTTTAAGTATGGACATCTACGTTATGTAACAGAAGGTTCTTTGTTTGAGAGGTTAACTAAATATGTCTCTTCTTGGAAGGGAGTCTATATAAATGGTGTACACATATGCAGGAATTAGCTGAGTAGATTTCAAGAGAATTAACCAGAGTAGCCAAGTGTGCGCCAAAAATTTGACAGTAATCTTCACCATGCATTAGAGATAATCAACCATAGAAGTTATTCACTGCTAAGACGTTAGCACCACCAGCATTACTTAACAAACAGATGTCTCTCAGTGCCTCAAGGTTAGAAAAGGAGTGATTTAGATAAAACAGCCTCATAGCTGTATGATTTTTACATTTCACATTTAATTAAATTGTTAAATTTTCAGCAACATTGTTTTTCTTTTGGTACATTTACACCTTTTTTAGGAAGATTTCCTGATACTGAAAAAACAATATGATCAAAATTTCATCCTATCAACAAAGACATGGCTTGTCAAGGGTGGATAAAAGACTGTATTAAAAATTCATTTTTGGCAAGTAGATAACAAATGAAATTCACTAGACGACACATTCCACTGAAAGAAATGGACCAGTGAAATTGACTGCACCAAATACAAGCCAGCCTTACAGAAGTGTAGCCCTCCTCTGGGGGTATCATATTCAAAACTTAGACATATGAGTTCTACTTGATGACCAACACAAGTATGGCTTATATTTGGTGGTTACAGTTGATTGGTTGTTGGTTGTTTTGTTTTATGGCATATCAACCTCAGTTGGTCATTTAATGCCAACAAATTTTTTAAATAGATTCATAGCGATAGTTTGGTAAAAAAGGTGTGTATGTATGCATATATATTTGAACCATTTTTTAATTACTCATATTTTTTAGTACAATGCAACTTCTTTTAGGAAATTTACAATCTTGGATGGTTTTATTTTCGTAAAAGCTTTTTTTTCATTTTTCACTTGGTAGATAATAATTTTTCCTTCAAAAATTATTGTTGGTAATATTTTTTTTTTTTTTATTACAAAGTATTTCTAGTATTAAAACCTATTTTTACACAAGTTTGGGTGTTAACCATTTGCCCATAGCTGGGACCCTAACAGGTGCTACCACACCGGGTCAAGGTGGACCTGGGAACACCAGCAATTAAGAGATGGTTCCACACTCCTCAAAACCTCCTGATCAGAGGCCTTGCTGCTGGACATAGTTTATCGTCTTACCCAGGACGCGGATGTAGTTTATCATCATACCCAAGACAGGGTGGGGTTGAGCATCAGGTTTTATATATATATGAGTTGGGATCAAATACAGATGAAATATGGAATGGAATAAGACAGAATGATAAGATAAAGAACAAATAGGAAACGTTTATCAATCTAACATGTTTCACTTTTATTAAAGATTCATCAGAGAATGAAATACAGAGAAAAAGAAGACAGATATCCTGGTATTTTTACTTTTGTATTGTTTGATTTTCATTGATTAATCAGGTTTCATGTGCATTCAACTTGTTAAACAAACATTAGTATAAGTTATGGCATTACAAACTGAACAGAAGATGACATGTCACTTAAAAAGTCCCAAAGAAACTAATGAATTCCAAGTGTAATTGAAAAACCATGAATATAGCTTCGTTAGTAAGTGTATTTATATTCTTTTAATCATTTTACCCCAAGCAAAGAAATAATGCCACTAAGATGAACGGTGGGGGTGACTAGGGTTGAAAGAAAATGAGAAGACTTTAGGAAACGGAAACACAATCCAAAACAGAGAACAAAAGATAAGCCTCTTCACCTGTTCAAAAGATGAAGAAGGAGTGTGAACCAGATGATAGCTTATTCGTGTATCTCAGTGTGTTTACGAGATATTATGTTTGTTGGTTTTGGCATGTTGATTTTTACATACATACATTAGATTCTTTAAGAATGGATTCAACAAAGTTGGTGATGTATGTTTAAAGTTGGTATTATAGTTAATAGTAAAATCCCTCAAAGTACTTTTGAAGTAATGAATTATGTTCTTTTTTTAGCTGGGGTAACATTTGTAAAATCCAAGCTATGGCCAGTTTTGTTGCAGAGTATGATGAGCAAGTTTGATTGTCTAAAAATAAATCTCTTTTATGTTTGTAGATATGGGCTTTTAGATTTCGAGATGTCTCGCTGATATAAATGCTTTTACATTGTAGGCAATTTATTTTATAAGTACCAGCATCTGAATTGGTGTTGGATTTATTTTTCTTCTTTATTATACCTCCAGTTGTCTTGGATGTAGTGGTAAACATCCTAGTATTAAGGATAACTAATGTTGTAAATTAGTAGAAAGAGTTTTAGAGAGCAGGATTAAGAATTTTGTACACTACATTATTCAGACTATTGTCTTCATATTTGTTGCCATATTCATTACAATGTTTCAGGTGGTTGGAAAGTTCAACTGAACCCTTTATTTCACTCACTGGGGTAGACTGTTCTAGTTTAATGAATGTCAGTTATCAGTTATCTCCTGTTAATTTCCCTCTGAAAGTTGTCCACTGCTTTAACCGGATATTGAACTCACACTCTTTGGGTCCTGTCTTTAGATCTAACCAACGCCTTTATCTACTTGAGGACATCTGTGTATGAATTTCTGGGTATTATAAACCTAATGTCTTCAACAACCATTTTTTACCAGTGTTCATATTGAATTTTTGCTGTTATCATTGCATGTTTTTTACCAGAGCTCATATTGCAATTTTTGTTGTTATTATCGCTTTTCTCTGGCACTCCTTATTACTGGTTCCCATATTGTATTCATTTCTATGCTTAGTCAGCTTAGGAGAATTTTGTGGCTTGGCATTCCTTAAGTTTACGAATTTTCCAATGGTGTTTTTTGTCTATGATCTGAACCTGATCCCACAAAAATCTCCTGAGCTGTACAGTGAATAAGATGATTGATTTGTTTTTTTATGGCTTATCAACCCTTTGTGTGGTATTTAAAGTCAAAACATATTTTGGATTGTAAGAACAATTCATTTTTTGTGAGTGAGTGAGTGAATATTCCATTAAGAATTTTTTGTTTTTTTAAATATATTTTTTTAACAATTTTTTCCCCTCAATACAAATCCAACTATTTAACCTATGGTTGGGGAGAAGATAGATTTATACCTTTCTGGAAGTTATCTGTTCATGGGTGAATATAAAAAACCAGACAGGAATTCAAACTTGGCTCTCCGGCAGTAGTATAGACTTAATTCGATAAACAATGATGTGTTTATGGATCAGTGTGTTGAAGTATTAATAAAAAAAAATGATAATTATATAAGATGATAGATTTACACACCTGATTGATTAAATGTTGTCGTGTTTCTTCCAAAACATCAAACATTTGGAAAATGCTGAAAACTTTACAGCATTTTATTCTTCTAAGAATAGAATCAGCTTCTGGCTGAAAAGAAAAGGAAAAAATTAATCTCCAGGCCATCTTTTATTCTTAGATGAAAAGGTTAAAGAAATAAAATTTATCTACAGGTCAACTTTCATGCTTAAACAAAATAGTTAAAAATATAAAATTCATCTATAGGCCATCTTTCATTCTTAGAGAAAAGGGTTAAACATATAAAATTTATCTACAGTCCATCATTTGTTCTTAGCAGAAAAGGTTAAACATAAAATTTATCTACAGGCCTTCTTTCAGAAACGGATTAAACATATAAAATTTATCTATTACCCTTTTTTACTTCTTAGAGGAAAGCGTTAAAAATTAAATTTATCTAGAGGCCATCTTTTGGTTTTAAAGGAAATGGTTAAACATACAAAATTTTTCTACAGGCCGTCTTTTGTTCTGAAAGAAAAGGTTAAATGCATAAAATCTTTTTTACAGCCCTATGTTTGCTCTTACAGGAAGGAGTTAAACATATAAAATTTAACTATGGCCCATCTTTCATTCTTAAAATGCATGAAAAATAACTGGAAATGCTTTTATGAAAGAAAAAACAAAGGAAATTACTGTATCATCTAGAGGTGAGGTAGCAATGCAAAAACATTTTCTGCTGTTCATGCTAATGCTGTTCTCTTGCTAAATATCTTGACAAGTCTTGTTACTGGCATACCACAATTATTGACAATCAGTCCAATACTCTTATCAAGAAACTCCGTACTGTCAAATTACACCTGAAGAGGTAACAGTGAAGAACTAGGTATTAATTTTCCCTTAAGGAAGAACATGTCACCAAACACGTCAACAATAATAGAAATTATATATTCAGAGATTAGCCACTTTTGGAAAGAAGGAAATGAAGATGGAAGAAATTGTCTTTGGAATAGCTCCTATTTTATGCCATTTCAATAACATCAGAGACATGAATTTCTCTATGCTCTCAATCAAACACAAAATAATAATATAAAACTAGAAATACCCATAAAAATTTTGTGGTTTTCCTATTTTAAATTTCTGATGAATTTTAATTTTTTAGTTAATGATTGAATGAGCGCATGACAAGTTCTAAAACAATAAGATATCCATATAAATTCCCCTATCACTTCATTAAATATCTGAGCTTAACAACTTTAACAACATATTGCAATAACAATACTGGAAAATGCAATAATAATGTATTTAAAAAATCCATTTTTCTGAAAAATTGTATTAAGAGAAAGATTCTATAGAGAAAGTAGCACTGGCTGCTCAGTCAATGAATGCCAAATGTTTCCTTATATTACCATTGTTGAATATTGATTGGGGAAAGACCTTTGGCTTTACTTCCGCTGCATCAGTGTGTGAGTGGAAATTGGAACTGGTGATAGCATAAACAGAAAACGCATCTGGTGGCTAAAATAAACAGAATGTATAGATGTCCTGAGCCTTGAGGATAAAAGATTAACTTGCATCAGAAGATGGAGGTTGTTGTTGCATTTAAATTTTTGAAGATTGTAGTTATCAGGGAAGCAAGTAAACAGAAGAGTGTTCAACAGTCGGGAAGTGCAAAAAAAGAAACTGTTAGAGTCGATGTGGTGGTTACATTTAACTATTTCAACAGTAAAAGGATGGGACCTAAAGGCCAATCTAGTAGCACACTTAAATTCATGTAGTCAGGGCACCCGAGAGAAAAGCTTGTCACAGCAGTAGCCATGAAAATATTTGTAGAAAAGACGGAGGGAAGCCACATCACATCTGTGAGTAAGTGACTAAAGTCGAGATACCAAGTCAGGATCGATTAAATTTCTGCAAAACATAATGAGGAAATAAGGTTTGGAGAATTTGACACTCGCATGACATATTGTTGGCAAGCAGGATGGAGGGAAAAAGCTTGTGTAAATGAATGTTAGATAAGGCAGTGGGAAGGATAGTAAAAAAGAAAACATTTCTAAGAGTGATAAAGAAGTTGGGGAGAGCCATGATTGCACACATTCTGAAGGGTCATTTCAAATATCTCAATAATTGTACATGTGAGATCTATTGAAAAGGTGACTGGAAAGTTTCTGATCACTTTTATGACAGGGGTCGGCAACCTTTTGGAGAGAAAGCAGGCCAGAAAGCTATGCATTGCCTTGGAGGAGGGCCATATCAAATGTATTATAATAAATTGTCTCGGCCTCAGGCTGCTCTGTCCAGAAGGCTGCCTTGGTCTGGAAGTTTAAAGAAAGAACAACAAAGTTAATCCTATATTATTTAAAAAAGGTTCCTTATTTTACTACAGGATACCAATTAATACAATCAACAAAAAATGCAAATTCTTTGCTACAAGCAAAATACAGTAAGAAATGGCAAATTATTTAATGAAACAATTGTTTCTGCTTATTGTTTGATAACCTCTTCACATCAGGTGAAATATTTGTCAATGACAGGAACAAAACATCATTCAGGTGGTCATCACCCAATCTTGTTCTTAAACGATTTTTAGTAGATTTCATTTTCAAAAAAAGTTGTTCATAAGCATAAAAGATAATACCATCATTTTCACATTATTTAATAGGCTTTTCTATTTTCCGCTTGTTAAAACATATTTCTTGTAGAAGTCATCAGTGGATTCAGAATGAAATTTTGATTTTAAAAATTTGTCGTATTGCAAGTCAAAATGATATTTTTTTTTTTGCAACTTGCTCCACAAATTAATTACATAATTAGTATCCAGGTATTAAGCTGACGGGCTGAACAAAAATCCTTCATGGGCCAGATATGGTGCAGGGGCTGGGGGTTGCTGACCCCTGTTAAATGAGGAGGCTTTACAGACATGGGAAAATAAAAGAGAGAAATTCATTTGAAAGAATCAGGCAAAGAAAATGAAAAAAAAAAAGATCATACTTCATCGTCTGGTTCCAAAATGGCCAGCAGGCGGTCAACACTGAAGGAAGCAGATGTATCAATATACAATACATTCAGTTTTGTTTGCTTAGCAACTGCTACTGTGGTGCTATGGCAAAACTGAAAGAAAAAGAAAAATTATAATCAAGTGGTCAACGATAACAGTGGGGTCTTTTTTAATTATATATTCCAAATACAAAAGAGCCACCAACCCACACAAACACACATCCCCACCCCATGTCAGATTTTCTGAAGCAAGTTAATATTTTGTAAAATCAGTATTAACCAATCACTGTTGATAACATTTTTAGAATATACTAATATTTAAATAATCTGTGAGTGGTACAAAATTTTATTAGGATTCTAAAATTGACATTTTAAAAGTATATATATATATATATATATATATATATATATATATAAATTAATTTTATATATTATATGCGTGGTACTTATTAGAAAGCGCTCAATATCAGAGATAGAACTAACATATTTGGTTGGATTGATGTGAGTTTTTTAGTTCAAGCTACCACCACAATAATTACATTTATTGTTTTTATCATTCTCCCACCACCATTGCTAATCACTTCTACCAATTTACAATAACTATTAGCTACTTATATTATCATTGTCCCCAATCCCCTTACAACATTACTATCACATCACATCTACTATTATCATATAAACCCGTTATAATTATTAACGTAAACTACCCTCTCGCCCAGCATATTAAATATCAGCATATAAAATAACCAATGAGGATTACAAACCGAAATTTCTACCAGTTACATATACACAGTCATCAAAAACAAGCAAATAAACAGCTTTAAAATAATAACAAATAAACCCTTTTTTTTTTAAAATAAAAAATAAAAAATAAAAATAATAGTAATTTTTACCTGTCATAATTTTACACAGACCTCACCACATGTATATACGTGCATGCGAGAAAATATTATTCAGTGAAAAAATAGAAAATGCTCTGATTGTTGACATGTATACATTCACGAGACATTCACAAGAAATTTTCGCTACACTTCCAATCTTTGAATTTCAACATACAAATGCATATGTATAGACACAACACCACCCATATACATACATATGTCAAATCCAAAACTGTCCACATATGTTTATATATGTATGAGTCCCGATGGACAAGCAAGTGTGTATGTATGTATCTGTGTACCTCATCTGATGTACTGAAATGCATCTATGTTTGCGTTAGCATGATGACATCACGACGACGATTCCCCCCGCTCTCATAATAACACCAATACACGCAATCTACATAAACCCAATTTTTTAAAAAATTAATCAGTTTGTCTGACGATCACAAAAGCGTGAAACCCAGGGTCACAAACTCACATCAATCCAACCAAATATATATATATATATATATGTATGTGTGTGTGTAAAAATATATAGAAAATAGGAAAGAACTCATTAGGTAACATGAGAACTCTTACGTAGCATTGGAATCATATTTTTAAATAAATAATTATATATATATATATATATATATATATATATAAAAGTGAACATAGAAGTCAACACTTAGAGGCGACAGTCTGTTTCATGCTATATGTAATCGACAAGCCACATGTGCTGTTATTTTTCTTGGCTATTTATACATATACGGGTCAGTGGTGCATTGTGGGTAGTCTATTATGGTGGTTATTTTACCGGAAGTCGTTTATTTAAAAAATTTGTTTATATCACTTATTTAATAGTTTTGTTTTGATTTGAGAATTTAATTAAAGCTATTTGTTCTGTTTGGGGGTTGGTTGTTGTAGTTTTATTCTAACTATTATAAATAGCTATCATTACTTTCCCAGACCAAAATAAATTATTAAATAAAAGATCCGAGCTCATCTCAAAATGCAGACGTGAAAACAAATTTTTACTACATTACTTAAAAATTGAAAAATGGAAAAAATAAAATAAAAACAAATAAACAAGTAAACAAAATAACAATAAAATAAGCAAAATTAATTAATCCAAACAAATTACCAAATCACACCTGTTAGAATAGACGAAATAGAATAATAATAATAATAACAAAAAAAAAACAATGCACCCAAATAAACAAAGTAAATAATAAACAAAGTAGCAAACCATTACAACCAAAATATTAGTTAGACTAAAAAAATCAAACCAAAAAATCAGATGAAAAAAATAGCTATAACTGTTATATAACGATAAAAAATAAATAAATAAATAAAATAAAAATAAAAAATAAATAAATAAATACTACGTTACTTAAAAATCGAAAACCGAAATGAGAAAATATAGAAGTAAAATAAATTGACCTAAATTCATCCAAGTAAATAAATAAACAATCCCGATAAAGTTACCGTTAGAAAAAACAAATAAAGATAATCAACCCAAATAAACACAAATTAAAAACTGTTTCTGCCAAAATAATAGTTAGAATAAACTACAACAACCAACCCCCAAACGGAACAAATAGCTTTAATTAAATTCTCAAACCAAAACAAAACTATTAAATAAGTGATATAAACAAATTTTTTAAATAAACGACTTCTGGCAAAATAACCGCCATAATAGACTACCCACAATGCACCACTGACCCGTATATGTATAAATAACCGAGAAAAATAACAGCACACGTGGCCTGACGATTGCATATAGCATGAAACAGACTGTCACCTCTAAGTGTTGACTTCTATGTTCACTTTTATATTTACACACGCTCTATCTCTGATATTGAGCACTTTATCCCATAAATATATCATACCTTAAGACTATATTTCTTTATATATATATATATATATATATATATATATATATATATATGCATGTTTCATTAAAAACGACAGACAAGGTACTACGGTTGAGCTTTTTATTTAATTTTTCTTGTGTTCTGACAAGAGCTTTCTTTTCTGGACAAAGAGTGTGTAAGAACTGTCCGAATGTTAGGTATTTCCGAGCGCTTTCGGCTATATCTTTAGCCATTATCAAGGATGATTCAATATCAGCTTAGTAGAGTGTGTGTGTTCTGTGAACGTTCAGTGTGTGATAGTGATGTTTTTAGTTTCCGAATACGGTTAGCACATTGTGGCTTTGTTCATAGTTAATATTGTTAAGAGTTGGCTTTTTCTTTTTTATTATTAGAGCTTCCATTATTTTTAGTCTTTTTTTGCAAGTGGATGCAGTTAATATATTTGTGTTTTCTACTAGTATATTCCTAATAGTGTCGGGTAAATCTGTGTGTGTGTTTAAATGTGTTCTGATGGAACTGTGATCAGATAGGTGTAATGTAAGACATCTGGATAAACATGTGGTTGTGTAGCTGATGTAATTATTTATGAGTCCGGTTTGGTGAGGAACGCAGTTCCTTAAAGGGCATTTGAACTCATAGATAATGTTTGTTCTTTGTAATTTTGACTTAGTTGGTGTGTTGTTATTTTTGAGGATAAGGTTGGCCGTCTTAAATTTTTTATAATAGATAATAAGTTTGATTTTTTTTTATTAGGATCAATAGGAGTAGTATATTTCTTTATAATATGTCTTAGAGAAGATTCATCTTGTTTGTAATTAATATGCATTTGGTTTTTGTAATAAATGTGTATGTGATTTTTAGTTGTGTGTTCGCTATTGTTATTACTTGCTTTGGGGAGGAATAGTCTAATTTGTTGGTCTATAAGGTAGTTAGGGAAACCGTTGTTAATTAGTGTTTGTTTAACGTTGTTAAGTTCTTTGAGGAAGAGTAGTCGAGAGGATGAGTTCTGGTGGGCTCTATTTAGAAAGTTTTTTATTACAGCTATTTTGTACCTAAGTGGACATTCGCTTTTGAAATTAAGGTGGCACGAGTTTTTGCTGGTGGGTTTTTTGTATAATGATGTAATGAAAGTGTTATTGTTGTGTTCGACTATTAACTATGAACAAAGCCACAATGTGCTAACCGTATTCGGAAACTAAAAACATCACTACCACACACTGAACGTTCACAGAACACACACACTCTACTAAGCTGATATTGAATCATCCTTGATAATGGCTAAAGATATAGCCGAAAGCGCTCGGAAATACCTAACATTCGGACAGTTCTTACACACTCTTTGTCCAGAAAAGAAAGCTCTTGTCAGAACACAAGAAAAATTAAATAAAAAGCTCAACCGTAGTACCTTGTCTGTCGTTTTTAATGAAACATGCATAAAGGAAGGATTGCTGCCTAAACATACAAATATATATATATATATATATATATATATATATATATATATATATATATATATATGCACAAAATATATAAAACAAAGGAAGCAGGAAGAGCAAAGATAAAAAAAAGAGAAATCTACTTACCATAAATTGGTGAATCAAAAACTTTAACAATAAGAAAAAAATAAAAAAATATGTACAAATGTTTATAGATTGTTGGTCTTCAAAGCCAAAATCGAGGACAAAAGAAAAAAGTAATTTTTTTTTTCTTTTTCTTATCCTTTCGTTGCCAAGTTTTATTGTGCAAGTCAATATTTCAATGATAAAATTCACTATAATCAAATGATGTTCACAAAAATTTCAATTCATATTTATATGAGCAAAATATCATCTGTCATTAAAAATGCTGTTACTAATTTGTTTTGGGAATATCAGGTTGTACTAAAAATCTAAAAGTTTTTTTTTTTTAATCATTTCACCCCAAGTGAGGAAATAAATCTACTAAGATTCAAGAAGTTACTGAAATTGAAAATATCTGAAAAAAATGTTATGGAGGAGAGATTGAGTGTTGAGTGATTTTGTTTTTTTTTTTTTTTTTTTTTTACAGCTTATCAACCTTTTGCAGGTTATTTAAATCCAGAAAATTTTTAGATTGTAAGAATTTTTTTTTTTAAGATAATGATTTACTGATACAAAAACTAATAATTAAGATGGGAGAGGGAGAAGAGGCAAATTCATAGCTTTCCCAAGGGTATTTGCACATTCATGAATACAATAAACTCAATTGCAATTGAAACTCAGTTCTCCAATTTCCAATTCTTAGCCCATTATCCATTACATCACTGTAGTGAACGAGATAATCAAGTACCCCGGAAAAAAGTTTGTGTTTTGTGTGCGATCTGCCGGGGAGGGATTGCCAAAAAGAAAAGTAGTCA